ATTGTATCGGAGGGCTGTATTTACACATGTGGCTTCAATCAGCAGATCTCTGTATGCTGTAATAAACCTAGAAAAGCTCTATTTAAACCAAAAAAGGAGAAGAAGTTACTGGCTCCTTCCAGGGATCTGTCCTTGGAGGTGGAATTTGGGGACTTTCGGAGATCAGACCAGCAGTTCCTTACAGATGTATTAATCAGTTATGTGAGATGTGGTTTTGTAAGTCTTTGGAGTTCGGGGGTGGGGAGGAGGAGGGAGGAGAAGAGGAAGGTTCAGGCACTGGAATGGAACTCTGGAGACCTGAATTAAGTTCCTTGCTCTGCTACAGACTCCTTGTGTGATCTGGGCAAAGTCACTTAATTACTGTGCTTCCGTTTTCCCCATCTGTAAAATGGAGTAATAAAGTTCCATTTCTCCAGTCATTGTCTGCTTAGCTTATAAACACTTTAGGGGTTGGAGTCTTACTATATATTTGTACAACACCTAGCATAATGGGGCCTCAGATGTTACTGTAATGCAAATAATACCAATATTACAGAGATGGGGGAATCACATAAATACCTCATAGGAGCTCTTAGCACTTCAGGATGAGGTTTGTTCTATGACAAGTAGTAATTCATCCCAACCTCTGTCAGGTGAAGGTTCAGTGACTGCAACAGCTTTCCCTGGGTTAACTTTGAAGATCACTATGGGAATATATTAATTTTTCCTCTTTAAAGAAAATGCTTTCTCATGTCCTGGAAAGGAGAGAATACTACTTGGCAAATTAACCTCATTTTAAGTGAACTTCCCTGGAAATGTATAAACTTCATTCCTAAAAAATATGCCGCTTTTTAGAGCGAGCCTAATCAATGACATAATTCAGAGGAGGCTGGGATGAAGACTTTGTAGAGAAGTCTATATAAAATACCTGGCACCCAGGACAATGTGGGTTCATTCCAAAGGTAAAAACCTTTGCTTTTCAGAAGGAATTTTATGAATCTCAGGGGTAAGCCCTATCTGGTAGGGATGACTTAGCAATGTCTAGAGAGGAAGAGCAGTCCATTAGTGGCAAGGAAATCATCCTAACCATCCCTTCACAGAGGAAATGGTGGCGATAGAATTTTAACAAGGGGTCTCCAGAACTTCACTAGACTGTGAATCAGCTGCAGTATGTTGCAGCGTCTTCTAGGTCCATGGATGTGCTCCAGGTACAAGAATGTGACCACGGCTTCAGTGTTGAGTGAAGGATGTACAGGTTTTACATGTCTGATCTGGCCTATTTTTGAGAAACTGACCTAGACCCCAGTCCAGCAACTGCTTCTGTGGGGACAGGTTGCCACAGAAGTCAATGGGGATCTGTATAGAAAACCTTGTGTCTAAGTAAGTAAACATAGTTATGAACACCAGTTCATATTAGGAATTGCAATGCTTTGAATCTGGGAGTGTCTCTCCCTAGCAACAAGTGCATTCTTGCCAAGCCCTTGGCTTAGTGCAGACCATGTGAACAGGTAACAAAAAATGTGCATGCAGAAGGGTGTGATAAAAGTTCATGCCCACAGGATGCCTGTGCACAGGTTGCATAAGACACATGTTTTTTCCCTCTGATGTGTTTAGAGACCTAAGAAGCAGGAGAAAAGTGAACGACAGTGCAGTAATGGTGGCAATGTGCATTCATTACAACTGGTGACTATTCCAGTACAGAAATGGATTGCCTTCAATTGTAAAAGTCACTCCTGGTCATCTCTCTGTATTTACACAGGCTCACCCTATTACTACAATAACAGGCAAATAGCTGACTTCCCCATGCTATTTTAAATTTATCCGTAGAAAGAGAAGTACCCCATTAATCTCAGTCCAGTGGCTCATCTTTGCAGTCCATCTTTTGCCTTACAGTGTTCCCCAGAGTTTCTTTAAAGACTACATTCTCACATGCCGGAATTGGACATCCATGTAGTCTTTTAATGTTCCTTGGCAGCAATAATCTCAGGTCTAGGATATTTCTAGGGCCCAATCTTATTTTGTTTTATCCTACTTCCTGGGGTTGTAAAGTTGTGCACTGATTCTTACTCAGTCTCAGTTTTAACCTTACCATTGGTCCTAATTAACTAGTTGTTCTTTGGAGGGCTTTTCAGGCTGTCTTGCATTCCCCCTGTTTATTAGTTAATGTGTATCCTCCAAAACACGCTGCTATCCTATGGGGGTAAGAATATTGAGGCAAAATGAGTGAATTGCTTTACTCTGTGTACCAGACATAGTGTTTAGGTTTTAATAATGCTTCAGCTAGTTAAGGGGAAAACACGTTCTGTTCATGTGAATAAACTTCTTTTTGTAAAAGCTACAGAAGACTAAAAGATGAAGAGACTTGGTAAAAAGACGGAAGGAAATCATGGTGAAGCACTTCATTCATACCTTGGTGCTGTGGAGGGCGAGTGTGTATGTGAGACATTGCCCTCTAGAGGGCTGAAAGATAGGATACAGGACTTGCTGCTGCTACAATCATCAGCTAAACAAGTGTTATTCTCTCTGTCCCTCTTCTCCTGACCCCCCATTAGTTCTGAGTCCTGTGTAAATGGAACTGAAGGAGCAGAATTCTAGTCCTAGCTCTGTTGCAAGATTTATAGATGGACTGACTGCAGCACATCGGTTTGTTCCAGCAGTCGATGAGAGCAACCTTCTCCATAATGAGCCCATTCCCCTGCAAGTACAGGACATGGTTCCCAGTGGAGGTCTTATTGGACAGAATTAAATACATTTGCATTAGCCAAATGTGTCTTCATCCACCCAAGCCTGTGTATGCTACCCAAAGCAAGTGATAAAAATAGATCGAGTATTGTATTCACTGGTTAAAAATCTTTAACCTGTGCCCTGTTTCAGATCATAAGATGAAATGTGTTGCTTGTTGAGACATTACTCTGTCTGTTTTAAATAAGTCCAGTTTTAAGCTCTCTAAGTGCATAGGATTTAAAAAATATGGAGCTCTTGAAATGATTGCACTGAATTCTCAGTAAGATTCAACTGTTGCTTAGGCAGTTCAAGCCCATGAAATATGGGTTAGGAGGAGATGCACTTTTATTCTAATTATGAAATTCCTGTTACAAGAAATGATACTTTTTACAGTTCTTAATATTGTATAACTGCCAGCACCCTGATTCAGTTCCCCATGTGAATAATATCCCTTAAGTCACAGGGTGCTGGCAGTTATACAATATTAAGAACAGTAAAAAGTATCACTTCTTAAGGGATATTATTCACATGGGGAACTGAATCAGAGAAATTAGGTGACTAGGCCAAGGCTGCACAGGAAGTCTGTAGCAGAGATAGAGTTAAACTTAGACATTTGGGGTCCCACTCTGGTGCCTTAACTGCCCTCTATTCCATCTGATGCTGACATTTCCTATGAGGCTGTGATACTTGGTTGAAAAAACAGCATTCCCTATTGAAGCAGAAAATGTTATACTCAAATTTGCAATGACAACAGTAATAACAAGTTCTTGTTATAGATCTAATTGTATGTGGGTGATGGCTGTTTGAGTAACTTTGGCTATTGCAAGACTGTTTTAAGATTTAATTATCCTAACTACACTGAGTTTTGCACTGGTACAACAATGGACTTTGAAAATGAACACTGGATTTAAGAAAAATTAAGCTAACTCTTGAGATTTCTGAAGCGTATAACAGTAAGTTTGCAAAAGTATTTAAAATTATTCATTCCTGGGTGTATATATATATATATTCAAACAGAGAAGAAATACACATTCCAAGTTCAAGCTTTTGGTCTAGAAAAGCGTAGCTAGAAAGCAATGTTCTGTATTCAGTAACAATAACAAAATGCTTTGTGTAAAAGCTCAAGCGTGGGTTCAGGTTTTTGATGAACAGTGTTTAACTTTGTTAGTGTTTTGTGTGCAGGCTTTGTGAGAATTCCTCTCTCTAAAGTCCTATGTAAAGGATGGTGCACATTTTTTACACCACTTTAACCCTTAATATTTTTTCTGGGGAGAGAAAAAGAGGGGGAAGAATAAGATTAGAGAAACTCTCAGACAAGTTTAACCCTACTAAATTACCAGCACTGTTCAGAATGTCTGTGCAGTGTTCCGGTGCTCTAATTATTTTTCACACTCATGGGAGCTTGCTATCATCCCTGTAGTACTCTGTTGAAAATCCATTCTCTGAGGGATTGCAATGGTTATGCATAAACTTGTGCCTATAGAAAAAGGTTTAATTTCATAGTCTACTTGCACAGCGCCTAGCACAATAGGGCCCTGATCTGGTTAGCCTTTGCACCACCACAAAATAAATGTTTAATAGTAACTTCTAAATGTCGCTACCTGTGTTAATAATAACTTAACATTATTAAAACAGAGTTTTAAACATTTTAGTCTTATTTTTGGCTTATTACTAGTCTGATTTTACTGAGCCTTGATGACTCAACAGAATCATTTAACTTATGGCCATTTTTGTTTTCTGGTTCTTACATTGTTAACTTGTACACTGCAGATGCAGTGGAAGGATACTATTCCTTCAAAAAAAAACTCTTTCAGAGAGGGGGTCATTTGTAAAATAAAATAAATATGTAATATTTAAGTTTTTGGAGTCAACATTGGCAGTGTGTCCCTCTTAAAATTCTGCGTATACATCCAGCATTGCAAAAATTAGCACAAGTGCACTTCTGTGTTCTGCTGTCCATTAATCAAGAATCTATACAGCCTCCTTTCACCCAATCAATTGAAGAAAAGGCTGCCAACAATCACTTGGCATTTTCCTGGCCGCTTTTGCGCCTCAAGGCAGCCTCGGTCTTTTTATTCCCTAGCCTACAACTTCGCAGCTGGCAAATTAGGTTTTCCCACAGCACTGTTAAATGTCCCTGGACACCAATAACAAGGAAGTGTTCCCAACAAAGCTAATGAACAAAAAGGAGGGTAGGGAGGGGTTTCTGGATTAGTGTTATCAAGGAGAAATTTTAAGGTGTGGTGTTTTTCAATTAAAAACAAAACCAAAAAATTCTGTTTTGTTTTCTTTAATAGAAGTTGGTGTCTTGGCAAAGCAGTATTTAGAGCGAGGCCTTTTGGTACCGGATCATGTCATCACCAGTGTCATGATGATGGAGCTGGAGAAAAAGCAGTCTCAGCATTGGCTACTTGACGGTAAGTAAACTGATGTGCATGATTTTGGTATCCTGGGTGCAATAATCTTGTATCCCTCTGCTCTGTTAGCTCGTTGTGGATTGAAAATCCCAGTCCGCTTCAACCTCTTGAAGCCTATTTCTTCGAATAAGACATTACTTTCCCAGGAACGATTTCACAGGAAAAGAAATAAAACCAAGCACAGCTTTTCAATATTTATAGCAGCTAGGGAGGGGTGAAGGAGAAAGCAAAAACACTTCGGAGCGCTTTTAAGGACAGAGCTGTTCAGAGCTGGTCTCCTCTTAAAGACTTGTGCTTCTGAAAATGAAACTCAGATCCTACTTGCAAGAGATCACAGGTACTGAGGAAAGATTTTGTTAATTTAAGCAAGAGGTCAGAAGCTCCACTCAACATACTGTCACTCTAATGGAAGGGGTTTTACATCACCATCATGGTAGTCGTACAGCATGGAACAGTGCTTAGTATAATGCGCATGGGGCTCTCCAGATCTCGTACTCCCCGGCGTGTACTTCAGGAGGTGAGGTCCGCTTTGCCACCCGCTGCTCGAGTCTATCTTGACCGGGTCCTGCGAGAGGGCATGCCCCGCCCACCCTCCACTCCGAGCCCTCCAGACTTTTTCATCGGGCCCCTGCCCTGTGGACCCAACTGCCCCCCCCGCCTCTGCACCATGAGCCAGCTGCACGATCTGCAGCCGGTCCGTTTCCAGACCGTGCCAAGGAAACATCTATACACGCTTCATGTCCTCACCCTTGCGTACTGCCCCGACATGAAGTGGCGGGACCTCCTGCCACCTCTGGAGGGTGAGGAGCCCCGGTGGGCCAGCCTTTACTCTACCCTGATCCTGAGGCCCGCTGGGGACATCAGTTGGCGGCTCCTTCACGGGGCTGTGAGCACTGGCGTGTACTTGACACGGTTTACCCCTATCCCAGACACCTGCCCCTCTGCAGCGTGAGGGAGACCCTGGCACATGTTTACCTGGAGTGCGCCAGGCTGCAGCCCCTATTCCGGCTCCTCACGGATATTTTGTTAAGATTTTGGTTGCACTTTTCCCCTCACCTTTTTATTTACGCACTCCCTATCCGTCGCCCCACAAAGTCATGGGACCTCCTGGTCAGCCTCCTCCTGGTCCTGGCGAAAACAACCATCTATAAAACCAGGATGAGGAGGTTGGCCAATGGAGTCTCCTGTGACTGTGGGGCCTATTTCCGATCCTCCATCCGTTCACGTATCCGGGCAGACTTCCTCTGGGTGACGTCCACTGACTCCCTTGACGCCTTTGAGGAGCAGTGGGCACTGTCCGGGGTTCTCTGCTCGGTGTCCCCGTCTGGTTCACTTCGTTTGTCCCTTTGACCACACTCCTGTCCCTGTTCTTTCGTTAGTTGTCCCCTATAATTTTTTGGTCTCCAGGTCCTGTGGACCCCCCCACCCTTAGGCTGGGGGGTGGGGGGATCCCAATAGGATAATGCCTCGTAGAGCGAACTGCTACCGAGGATGTCTGCAGTCACCATTCGCCCTACTGCTCCCTCCTGCCCTGTGGGTTCTTCATGTCCTTAACAGTCAGGTCTCTGTAGCCCAGTATCAGCAGTTTTCAGACTATGGGCTGTGGCCACCAGAAATTCTGTGAACCTTGAGGGGCTCTGTGTCACAGTTCTCTTAGCTCAAGGGGAGAGAGAAGTCACTGCTGTGACCCTCTGTGCAGGGGGAGGGAGGAAGGGAAGATGTACAAGCCCCTAGCTTGTTCCCCCTCCTTTCCACTCCTGTGAGGAGCAGTGCGCATATGTCTGGCCAGTCTCCCCTGGGAAGAAGGTATGTCAGAATCCTTGACTTAGACCAGCTCTATGCAGCAGACAATCTCTCTCACACTGCTGTTCCAAATCATGACATGAAGCAACTGGTGCATGGGAGTGACTGGACACAAGCCAAGATAAATCACATCTTGTTTCTTGTTCAGAGACACATGAAGTATCAACCATGCATCGTGTATGCTAATCAGAAGCCTTAAAAACACTTTGAACACAATTAGCTTTTTTTTTTTATAGCCATCTTGGTTGTGAAGATGAATTTTTGTTCCTGCAAATAATTGAGCCCCCAATTTTACATCCAGAATCAATTGTGGGAGCACTCAAGTAGTGGGATGTCTAAATGCGACAAAATTGGAGCCCAGGTAGAGGCCTTTTTTAAATATCAGGCCTGAAATATGAATTGTTTTATCAGAGTGAGTGTAGTTTTAAAATCTGTGATGCCCCTAGTCTCCACTGTTGCTTGCATTTAGTCTTTCATATGTTGCACTAAATATTTGATTTTACTTACTAGTAGAGCAGTGGGCTTGAGTTTAAGTGGATGTGAAGGGGTAAAATGAACATTTTTTGCAAAAGTTCCATTTCTTTCACTGAATCTTAGAAGAAACATTTCTGAGCATCTCTAATTAACTTAAAGGTAAAAACTGACTAATGGAGAACCATTCAGACACCATGGTAATGAACACAATATAAGCAACCACTTGTTCATTTACATTCTAATTAGCTGTTTGTCTATAAATGCATACGCTGGAGATTAGGACCCACACTAGAACTGAACTCTGTTCGGAGCATTCCCTAGAAAGGTGACCTTTTCCGGTGGGCATAATCATTCAAGCCCTCTGGTAGTTCCTTAATCTGGGAATCCCAGAATTTGGCCATCATTAAACTAGGACTCAGACCTACGCCTCATTAATACAAGGGTTTATCATTTCTGTACTGAAATGTTGCTGTTCATGGAAAAGCAAATAAAGTGTCTCTCCAAATAAAGCAACCAGTGTTGGCCCATGTTGCCATGAGGTGACTGGAATGGTTTGTGGTACTTGTGTAAATGATCATCTTGTTTCCTCATGAAGGACACCAACGCTCTGAACTGCAGGCTCTTGTTTCTCTTGCAGTGGCTTTGATTGACACCTAGAGAATTTAAGGACCCGGTCAAGGCTGCCGTTCAAAGATAAATTTAACTTTTTTAAATGCGTATTTCTGAGTCTCTACTAGCTGCCTTTGGTGTCTTTCCTCTGCTACTACCTTGTCTCTGCTGCTTCCCTTTTTTGTGCTCCTTCTCTGCTTGCATTAGCTGCATCACAGAGAGATTGACTTCAATCTCAAGTTATTGTGCTGATGCTCCTGGCACTGAAATCCTGCTGTGTTGCTGGTGCAAACGAGTGACTGGAGGACAGATATGAGCGTGATCAAATCAATAAGAATACCTGGATGGCTAGATCAAGCAACGCTGCTGCAAATGGAGGTGCAAAACTGTCCTATTGCCAGGTCCAGGCAGGAAAGAATGGGGGATGTATGTCTCCAGTATCCCATGTTGTTTCTGGCCTGGTGGATGCTAGAAAGTCTTGAGGCCCCTTAACAAAATCCCTATGTTCCCATTCTCTCCTTCTTTCTTTTCTCCGCTTTCTGCCTTTGTTGCTTTTTCACTTCCTCCGTTAAAACAAACACACACGCACACCTGTGTGTCACCCACTTGCACACGTCAGAAAAGAGAGCATTTAAAGAGTCCGCTGTTCCCCTGGAGGGAGTAAATACGTTGCCAAGTGAATAGGTCTTCCTGGGGTTTTAACTACCAATATAGCTTTCCAGGGAAGTGGGGACCAAGAGCAGTCATGCCATTGGTATGGGTATTGTGCTCACAAGAAGACTCCTCCTGAATGATGAAGTTCAGGCAGTAAGCTTTATGAAGACTGCAGTCCACTGTGCAGCGTATAGCTAACCTGTGGAACCCCTCACCACAGGAACTAGTGGGGGCAAAATAATGGGAAGAATTAAAGGGCTTAAACATATACATGAATTAATATAACTGAGGCAGCTCAGCCTATGACATCACAAAGGCCTTCAAGCAGCAGGGCTGAGATCCTTGCTTCCCTCCCTTTCGTGCCTGTCCTTAGCACAAGTGCATTCTGGGGAGTGGACTCTTCTTGCCCTGTTGTATAAGGTCACTGTACTCTAGGTAATCTGTCGTACTGGTGTTCTAGAGTCGTCGCAGCTCCTGGCTTTAAATACAGGTGTAGAGAGTAAGGGTGTGCACACAATATTTATTTCGGTGTAGTCTAGGGTACTTCTGGGCTTCTGACTTTCACCACTTTGCCACAATGCAACGTTTTGGCTTCCCTAGTCTGTGCTGTTGGGACCAAACAGCTGACTTGAGTGTTAGGCTTAGGATGACCAGACAGCAAATGTGAAAAATCGGGACAGGGGGTTGGGGGTAATAGGAGCCTATATAAAAAAAAAAAAACCCAAAATTGGGACTGACCCTATAAAATTGGGACATATGGTCATCCTGGTTAGGCTCCGAATGCCATCCTGGAGCAAATCACAAAACCAGACTTTCTTTTGGACTGTCTTCATTGGTTCTGATGCTGCAAAACAGCCCTTAAGGTCTGAATGACCTTGGCCGTGGGATTTAACATGCCCAGTCCCTGTCTCTCTGCCTCCCACAAAAAGAAAGGAGCTAGCGATGAAAATGTGCTCTACAAAGCAGAAAAAACAGCTGGCGTTGGAGCAGGTGCCGGGAGCCATTCTCCAAAGTGAATTGTAGTAAAGGTGCACTATTTTGTGTGTGTTTATTCAATAAAAACTGACTGGAGTAAATGTCACTCTGTACCTGGAGAATACAAGCTCCCGCATGACATGTAGCTGTGCAAATTTGTTGCAGATCTGAGGTGCCCAGGGAGATCGATATTTATAATCGGTTTTTACTGCAGCATATCATTGCTGCTGGGTGGTGAGAGTAGCAGGCTTTAGCATTCCCTCTGGCTGGGAGGGATAGCGCTAGAGAATTCCCTCTGAGCCTGAGCAGGAGGGATACAGAGTATTCCTTTGGGTTACCGGCAGAGATGCAGGATGGGGAGCAGCTGACTCCTTGTACATGTGGGAAGGCTTCTGGATGTGATGCATCCAGGTTCGGGTGTCAACGGCTGACCTCTCTGTAAATGTTGGGAGTAGTGGGGGGTTATAATCTCAAATCATCCAGTGCTTGGTAACTGCTGGAGCACAGTACAGAACTGTTTTGGGGTTTTTTTTGGAGGTACTTAGACTCTTGCTGTGCCATGAGGCAGTGAGTGTCTGTGGTGGTACTGAGCTTGGAGAAAACAATAAGAAATTATCCCTCTGTGAGCAGATGGGTGAAATCCTGGCCTGGAATGACTGGGCTTATTGACACCAACGCTGGAGGTAATTTTGCATTATACGCAGTTTGCCCTCGCTGGATACCATTATACTGGACACTTGATTATTCTAAGCAAAATATGGCACTCCACACTGCTCATCCTAAACTGCTTGAAAAGCCCCATCTGCCCTTCAGAAATGTTTTCTCGCTGTTGGTATCTGATATCACAAAGGAGGGGGCAAGGTATCTTTTGTAAGAATAGGGGATGGAAGTAGGGATTTCAGGGTGTTGGTGATGGCTGTAGAAACCATCTCACTACAGTATCCTCCACACCCCTTGTGCAAAACTAAGCAGCATGTATATTTTAAACACTTGATTAAGCCCTGAAGTATGGGATCAGATACTGTGCATGCAACAAAATGGGCTGTCTAAGGCATGGAGTGTAAATTCTTGGGTTTGTGTTAGTTTGTTTTAAGTGTACATCTGTTGAAAGCCTCGGATACTTATTGCTTTTGCTGTCACAGAGGACTGGCGGTTTTTCAACACCAGCGCTGATATTGTGAAACTGTTGTTCACCATCCCATAAATATTAGTGTCCTTTGTTAGTTCATGTGGCATTTTTTTTTCTCTCTCTCTCTCTTCAGGTTTTCCTAGGACACTGGTGCAAGCTGAAGCACTTGACAGAATCTGTGAATTGGATCTAGTGATCAATTTAAATATCCCATTCGAGACGCTAAAAGATCGTCTAAGCGCTCGTTGGATTCACCCAGCTAGTGGAAGAGTGTATAATATGGAGTTCAACCCACCAGATGTACATGTAAGAGAATTTACCACATTAAAGACTAATTTTAACTGGAGAAAATTTAAATCTACTTCTAGATCAGTGACGATGTCTCCACTCAAGAATGGCTTATTAGTCTTTTTAAAAATATTAGGGGGAGAAATCCTGTTCTACTCTAAGTACTGAATGCATGGGAGTTGAATTCTTCTTGCTAGATAAGTTTTAGAAAACTAGTTAGGTTTTTCATGCTTGGGGGCCTTAAGAGGACGGCTGAAGATTGTGTGCAAGGCTGTTTCCAATCAGACAAGATTTATTTAGGAAAATAAGATTTACTGTGATCCAGAATACCACAGTGTTTTATTGTGCAGTCATGGCACAAATGATTATCCTGGGAGTTATGCAAGCTAGCACACAGATGCCATTGTTATCAAGGGAAAATACAAGGTGTTTTACAGTAACTGGTACAAGTGTCATAGATCAATGTTAATTATCCCTTTGCCTCAGATTTTTATCTACTATATATATTGTAGTACGTAAAGTGTCTTTCAGTGATATCCTCTTACATGAATGCAAGTTCTTTATAGCTGGCCAAGTTCTATCCTCAGTTACACCCATGCAACCCCCATGGCTCACTGTGTGGCACTGGTTTAATCTGGCACAGTGTTCATGGTGTATTGTTTGTCTTGTACACAGGGGATCGATGACCTCACGGGTGAACCATTAATCCAACGGGAAGATGATAAACCTGATGCTGTTGCTGCTAGGCTAAGAAAATACAAAGATGCTGCAAAGCCAGTAATAGAATTATATAAGTGAGTTTGAACGCACACAAGTGATACGGACCGTGCCTGTAAAAATAAGTGCTAAGTTTTCGTCTCCACAAGTCTGTTCTTGGGTTGCTCAGGGATATTCTTGAGGTGGCCTCTCCCAAGTAAAATTGTGTATGTGTTAAGATTTTTGCCTGGTCGTAATCAGCAGCCATATGCTATACCTTTTGGGGCTGGATTCAGGGCCCCACTCGAGTGGCATATGGCAAGCGTAAAGAGCTGCAGTGGGCCAAAGAACTCTCCCAGGGCAGGAGCAGTGTAGGGGTAGTGGAAGAGGTGAGGCCGGGAGCAGAAATACCTGTTGTGCTCGCTGCTATGGGGATTCTGGGCTGCAGAGCAGCCCTGGTGAAGTTGCCTTAAATTAGAACACACCCCAGGGCTGCTGTACCTTATGCCAAGGCCTGTTTCAAGCCCTACAGTAGCCCAGACCTCAGGCAGTGAGATGTGATTCCTTTGCCTTTCTTTCTCCTCTGCTGCCACTGGTTAGCTAGATTCTGTGCTCTCTCTCTCTCCTCTTTCTTTTCAGCCCAAAGCAGAGCCTTCCTTGGGTTCAGCTCAGGGGATGAGGCCAATTTTGCTGTTAAATTTAATTATAGGGGGATTCACCATTTCTCTGTTATGCTTAATCTGCTGCGTAAGGACAGTTGACTCTTTTAAGTGTACATAGTGTTGTGTTTAGAAAGTGCAGTGTAAATGATAAAAAATACAAATTATTACACATGTGCCTCTAAGAGAATAGAATTGTATGTATGGTTTTTAATCTAGATTTTTTATTTTATTTTATTTTTTTTAAGGAGCTTTCTGTCTAGCTCCCCCCCCCCTTGTGATTTAAAAAAAAAGGGGGGGGGGAGAGCTAGACAGAGCTCTTTTAAAAAGAACACCTCAGCTGTCAGCTTTAGATTGTGCTGGTGGACTCGCATGATTGAAATAGCCGTGTATCTGTAAGCAGAAGTTTGAGAGGAATTGTGATCTATTGATTGGAACACAGAGATGGAGCCATCTGTAAAAATGGAAAGATCCCCACCTGTCTCTTAAGGATTTGATTGAAGCTGGAAGATTTTAAAATTAACATTTCTGATTCTTTTAACTTCTTTAGGTAGAGCCTCCCAAAGCACTGGACAGTGAGAAAGATAAAAGCTTAGAGACACAACAAAACAAAACCTGTGCATAAAAGTGTAACAGAAAATCAGTTTTAAGACTCCAGATAAATGGAGGTTAGTTACTTACTGGCAGCATGTTCCAGGCACAAAGACCACAACAGCTTTCTTTAAGAGTTAAAACAGACTCATGAATTATTTGTATTGTTATAGTGCCTCGGAGCCCCAGTCATGGGCCAGGACGCCTTTGTGCTAGGCGCTGTACAAACACAACAGAGATGGTCTCTTGTCCCAAGGAGCTTACAATCTAAGTATAAGACGAGAAACAACAGATGGGTATGGTGTCAGCATGCTAGGCAGTGTTCTCAGCACACCAGCTGCCTTCAAATGCAGTTTTATCTCGTGAACAACAGGACTCTCTCAACTCTCCATATTTATATGTGCACTAGCAAACCAGATATTGGTGTACAGCGTACTAAAAAAAGTCTCTCAAGAAGTTTGAAAGAACTTACCCCACTAAAATTTTGAATGTGACTCACCAGGTACAGCTTCCTTCCCTGTAATTTTTTTCATTTTATTGTTCTGTACCTGTAAACATTTGGAGCCTGATGTAATAGGGCTAATCACACGAGTAAGATTATTCACATGCTTATTTGTAGGACTGGCTCTTAAGAGAATGTGTTCATGTTCTTGCCTATGCGGTGATTATTTGGGGTCATGTTTTGTTGTAATAGCCGTGCCTTGCTTTCAGCTCTGTGCTAACGATCTAGTGATTGAGACTGAACATTTTAAAGCAATGCAGCATTCAGTAACATTTTAAAAGTTGAAATAGTCATATGGAATGAAAGGGACATGAAATACAAGGGACTGAGGCCCTAAGTCACCCAGGACCCTTAAGCGTGTGAGTACTCCCATTGAAGCTTGTAAAACACGTAAAGTTAAGCCCATGCATTGATAAGTTTGAGGCTAAGGCTTTTACCTTGCAGTTGTTCTTCTGATGACACATCCATTGTAATGTGCTTGGAGATATACTGTAATGAGCAAAGCTGCACTGCAGAGGGACAGACTGGATAAGTCTCTTGTATGTAAAATGTAGTACACCCCTGTCCAAGATCCTAGGTACATCCTTGGGCAGGTAGCCCAAACTGCCGCCCTTCCCGCTGCAGCCACCCTGCTATTTGTAGCACATGTACATCTACCTGAGCTGGGAATTACACCTCCCAGCTGCAATGTAGACATACCCTAAGTAGTGAAGAATCAATGAGTAGATTAGATGAACATTAAGCATAATTGGCTTTTTGTTTCTACTGTAAATTACACAGCACTTAGCAAAAAATTTGACCCGAAACTTGACCTGCAATCCAGAATGGTTATTCGAGAGCTTAGGCTACATTCATTTTTGTTGGTTATGCTCCTTTGTATGTGAAGGCAAGGGATCATAGACACTGCATAGTCCTAATGTGTTCCAGTATTTTCAATCCATTATACCGATTTCTAATCTTAATTCTATTTTTCAGGAGCAGAGGTGTCCTACACACATTTTCTGGGACAGAGACCAACAAAATCTGGCCTTATGTTTACACTCTGGTTTCCAGCAAGATCCGGCCTGTCAATTCCAAAGAAGCTGATTAACCATCTTATGTAGAGGATCAAGAATTTAATATGGTTGTTCATTTTGTTTCTCTGTGCTGTATTGGTGCTATGCCCAGTTCGAGGATAGTACAATGTCTAGAACAACTTCTTGGGTTTACTGGAGTTTACAGTTCTGGAAATGCAGTTACAGCCAGTGTCCGGGTGGAAAAGAACTCTTTCTGTAAAAGGTGAAGTCTGCTGGAATAAATTTTAGTTTTCATGCTATAAAGTATTGCTGATGTGATCTGGGAACCCTAATCAATGATGCAGACTTAGATATACTCTTTATCAAAAGCGACAAAGAATCCCATGGCACCTTATAGACTAACAGACGTATTGGAGCATAAGCTTTCGGGGGTGAATACCCACTTCGTCAGATTCTCAAACTTCACATGCGTCTGACGAAGTGGGTATTCACCCACGACTGCTTATGCTCCACTACGTCTGTTAGTCTATAAGGTGCCACGGGACTCTCTGTCCATTTTACAGATCCAGACTAACACGGCTACCCCTCTGATACTCTTTGTCAAGTCTCTCTAACCTGTCATGGTTCCCTCCAACCTACTCCCAAATCCATGTACATATGCAACGTGCTGCTCCATTGCTCCACAACACCCTTTTCCTTGGGATAACTCTACATGGCAACTTTTTTTTATTTTCTCTAAGAAATAAAAACCCTAAATGCACACTTTGACCCCATGGGGAATCAGTGAGTAACGTGGAAAATATTTACACTGAAAAGCTCAAATGTGAAGACAACGTTTCCAGTATTAATAAACGTAGAAGAAAAAATAATCCTGGGGGTTAAATATATACTTGTGCTGTCCTCCAAAAAAAAAAAAAAATAGCTGCTATACGATTTAATTTTCGCGAAGTGGTATGATATATGCCAACCAATAGACCAGGAAACTGAGTTTGTCCATGAGAAATGAGTTGCACTAGTTTGTGCTTTGGTTGTTTATAACTTTAACGCTACAAGATATGGGCATAGCATATTAGTTTGTCCGAAAGATTTATTCTAATGTCTCTTTTTTTGCGGGGGGTGGGGGGGTGTAATTTTCTCTGGAAAAAGTTCATTGTATCTGTTCTGCCTTATAATTGAGGTTCTTTCTTTTCTCAGTATACAGGGGCTATTCTGGGGGGAAATACCCTTAGCAGGGGATTACTTTTTCACATAATAATGGAACACTTTAGGGTCTGGTCCTTCAGGTCTTACATAGACGCAGTACTCATTGACATCTGTGAGAGTTATGCACGTGTGTTGGATGGCAAGAGTGGCAACCAATTGGTGGTATTTAAGCACTTTGTGAATCAAAAGCAAATTGTTTGTTCTTGTATATTCCTTGATAGTCAGGCAAAACTGACTCTGTTACTTTCTGTATGCATTGTTGTAACTGTGTTGGTCTCAGGAGATTAGAGAGACAAGATGGGTGAGGTAATATCTTTTATTGAAAGTTGATCCACTAAAAGATAATGCTTCATCCGCCACCTTGTCTCTGCTACTTTATGCTCAGTCTAGTCTTGTGCTTGAGGTTATGTACAGTTAAGCATGCAGCTAATCTAAAAACACTGCCCAGCTTCTTGCCAGAAACCTTTCCAAGCACTGAATAAAAACACTGCATTTTTCTGGAGGTGTCTCGATTTTAATATAGGATTTTTTCTCTGTTCAGATTTTTAGTTTCTGGTTACAGCTAATGGAAGGGGAAAGCTTTACTGTGTGTGTGTGTGTGTGTGTGTGTGTGTGTGTGTATATATATATATATATATATATATATATA